AGGTCTTGCTCAGCTGCTCAGGCTGGAATGCAATGGCGCAATCGTAGCTTATTCTAACCTTGAACTCCTGAGCTCAAGTGATCCTCTCACCTCAGCTGCCCAAGTAATTAGAACTGCAGGTGCACACCATTAAGTCCAACTAATTTGCTTTAGAGGTGGAGTCTCGCTATGTTGCTCAGGCTGGTCTCAAGCTCCTAGCCCCAAGCTATCCTCCTGCCTCAGCCTTCCAAATAAGTAGGATTTCAGGCATGAACCACTGCACCCAGCTATATACATATATTTGAAAGCCATTGCTTTATATCACCAAGAGTTACAAGTGCAGTAAATGTTCTCTTTTCTCTTCATTGCTGCTTCAAGTACCATTTTCATCCTTCCTCTCTAAATAACGTCCAGCTGCACTGAAGCACACGCCATCAAACTATTCCACACACACTCCTCCTTGTTATTATTACCTACAATACTCCTGGTCACCTTTCATTTAAGACTCCATCAACTGGCTTACTATCCCTCTCTCCATAATGCCTTCATTATTCCTAGTGACTTCAACATCCACGTGGACAATGCATCTCCTGCATATTAGTATGTGCAACTATAATTGTATTCCTTGCGAAAATACTGAAATATTTTCATAGGCACTGTCAATCCTCTTCAATGTCATGCCTTAATGCTCTAGCCCCTCATCAGGATTCAACAGATCTCTTCACAATTCAGAAACAAAAAGTAATCATCTAACACAACAAGGTACCTGCAGGACCCTGCACCAGCATTATGGGCTACGTCTATTTTGACAGGTCCATGCCATGCTAGTAGTGGTAGTGAAATATTTTGAACCCCATCCCTGCTAGCACTCTAGTCTCTCAGTTCCTTGGCTTTATTTTACCTTAAATGATTGTGTTCACCACTGCAGCCACTCACTCTCACAGTCATATCCTATATCTACTTGTGACCAACAGCTGCAGGAAGAATGCTGCTATGTCCCAAGGAACTCTGTTTTCCACACATTAGAATCCACCTGTGTGCCCGACTCATTCCAGTTACCAGAATTCCATCAACAGAGCAGCCCAGGACCACCAAGTCTCCTTACAAAGACATAATTAGGACCATCAGGTGTATCACTTCCTTTTAAACACAAATATAACGACTCCCTATCACCTGATATAGCAAATAAAAAATTATTCATCCACTACCTTCATCCACTGTTCTATCAATTTCCCTGTTTCTTCTCTACTCTAGACCAACACCCCCACATGTGTGTTCTTCATTCCACAACATCCCACAGCATGTCCATTTCTGCCTTCTGATGCTATATGGGATGCCCTTCCTACATTTCACCTTCAAAGCTGATCTTGAAACTCCTCCATCAGAAAGTCTGAAAAAGATAGAATCATCTGCCTGCTACTCAATGCATATTTAATTAATCCCTGCTGTAACATTGCATAGGAGTTTGTACTTGTCCTTAAAATTTCTGTAAAAGGTAAGGTACCACTGTGGTGAAAGGTGCACCCGGTGAGAAGTCAGACTAGGGTTCAATTCCTGATTGTGCCTGTTGGCTCACTTAATGTCCCTGAACCCATGCAGATCTACACCTTGCAGAGTTTGTTAATTGACAACTAAAGAGATGGCACACCAAAGCATAATATAAGGACATTTTGCATTTATTCCTTGTGATGTTTAAGACAAGGTTCTGTACAAGTACTGAAAACCAAAGCAAAAATGGACAAACAGGGTCACATCAAGTTAAAAAGCTTCTGCACAGCAAAAGAAGCAATCAACAAATTGAAAAGACAACACACAGAATGGGAGAAAATATCTGCAAACTACTCATCTGATAAGGGATTAATAACCAGAATATATAAGGATCTCAAGTAACTCTATAGGAAAAAAATCTAATACTCTGGTTAAAAAATAGGCAAAAGATTTGAATAGACATTTCTCAAAAGAATACACACAAATGAAAAACAGATGTATGAGAAGGTGCTCAATATTACTGGTCATCAGAGAAATGCAAATCAAAACTCCAGTGAAATATCATCTCACTCCAGTTAAAAAGGCTTATATTCAAAAGACAGGCAATAACAAACGCTGGTAAGGATGTAGAAAAAAGGGAACCCTCATACACTGCTAGTGGGAATATAAATTAGTATAACTACTAGGGAGAACAGTTTGGAGATTCCTCAAAAAAACTAAATATTGAGCTCCCATATGATCCAGCAATCCCACTGCTGGGTATATACCTAAAAGAAACGAAATCAGTTTATCAAAGAGATACCTGCATTCCCATGTTTGTTGCAGCTCTATTCACCATAGCCAAGATTTGGAAGCAATTTAAGTGTCCATCAACAGATGAATGAATAAAGAATAAGTGGTACTTCATATGACCCAGCCATCCCATTACTGGGTATATACCCAAAGGATTATAAATCATGCTGCTATAAAGACACATACACACGTATGTTTATTGCGGCACTATTCACAATAGCAAAGACTTGGAATCAACCCAAATGTCCATCAGTGACAGACTGGATTAAGAAAATGTGGCACATATACACCATGGAATACTATGCAGCCATAAAAAAGGATGAGTTTGTGTCCTTTGTAGGGACATGGATGCAGATGGAAACCATCATTCTTAGCAAACTATCGCAAGAACAGAAAACCAAACACCGCATGTTCTCACTCATAGGTGGGAACTGAACAATGAGATCACTTGGACTCGGGAAGGGGAACATCACACACCGGGGCCTATCATGGGGAGTGGGGAGGGGGGAGGGACTGCATTGGGAGTTATACCTGATGTAAATGACGAGATGGGTGCTGACGAGTTGATGGGTGCAGCACACCAACATGGCACAAGTATACATAGGTAACAAACCTGCACGTTATGCACATGTACCCTAGAACCTAAAGTATAATAATAATAAAAAATAAAAAAATAAAAAAATAAAAATAAAAAAATAAAAAAAAAGAATAAGTGGTACTTATACACAATGGAGCACTATTCAGCCATAAAAAAAGAATGAGATTTAGTCATTTGCAACAACATGGATGGAACTGAAAGTCATTATGTTAAGTGAAATAAGCCAGACACAGAAAGACAAACATCACAAGTTCTCACTTATTTGGAGGATCTAAAAATCAAAATAATTGAAACCCTGGAGATAGAGAGTAGAAGGATGCTTCCCAGGGGCTGGGAAGGGTAATGGGGGAATGGGGACAGTGAGGATGGTTAATGGGTACAAAAAATAGTTTGAATGAATCAATAAGACCCAGTATTTAATAGAACAACAGGGTGACTATAGTCAATAATAACTGTACATTTTAAAGTAACTAAAAGAGTATAATTGGATTGTTTGTGACACAAAGGATAAACGCTTGAGGGGATGGATACCTGATTTCCATGATGTGCTTATCATGCATCGCATACCTGCATCAAAATATCTCGTGTACCCCATAAAGACATTCACCTATTATGTAACTACACACATTTAAAATTACAAGTTATTTTTAAAAAGAAAAGATTCTGATATAAAGAAATGGTATACATTTAGCCTCTTTTTTTTTTTTTTTTGAGATGAAGTCTCACTCTGCTGCCCAAGCTGGAGTACAATGGCACGATTTCCGCTCACTGCAACTTCCACCTCCTGGGTTCAGGTGATTCTCCTGCCTCAGCCTCCCGAGTAGCTGGGACTACAGGCACGCACCACCATGCCCAGCTAATTTTTGTATTTTTAGTAGAGACGGGGTTTCACTATGTTGGCCGGGCTGGTTTTGAACTCCTGACCTCGTGATCCGCCCGCCATGACCTCCCAAAGTGCTGGAATTACAGGCGTGAGCCACTGCGCCTGGCCTTTTTTTTGTTTTGTTTTTTTTAAGGAAACAATCTCACACTGATTTGTTTCCCAAAACAGTCGAGGAGAGTTTGAGCTATTATAATATCTATCGGTTCTTTCCAAACATTCTTTTCAGGTAAAGTCAGGTTTAGGTACTTGGTTATGTTCAATTTAACTCTGCGTGACAGAGGCAAGGCTGTGTCCACCAGCCTCCATTTCCTTTTCTAGGAGGCACACATACTTTATTCCCAGCCACCCTGCTGGGTGGGGCCATGTAACCATGCGCATAAATTCCCGCTAAGGCATTGGGGTGAAAATGATACACAGCACTTCCAGGACTGGCCCCTGATATCTCTGGCAAGTTAACCACAGCTAGCCTCCCTTATCTGAGGGCCACAGATTTGGCTACATTACCAAGGCCTCAGGGCATGGTAGAACCACCAAATGCAAGAAGCCTGGTCCTTCAATGAATGCAAGAAGTACAGACCCCACCCTCTGGCCCCAACCAACTTGTTACCACACTGTGACTTGTATGAACATAAGCCTTTATGGAGTCAAGGTCCGAGATACTGGTTTTGCTAGCCTACCCCAATTAACACATCTTATATTTATCACCAGTGGTAGCATAAGTGAAAAGAATCCCTGGACTTAGTTCCAGACCCGGGATAAAAATTCTGGCTCTACTACTCCCCCCACGTCCCCCATGATCTGCTCCTAGAGTATGCTCTATACCCTTCCCAACTGCGTGTCTACTGCATTTTCCTCTTTTTCACTACAGAGCCCTCCCAACTCTTCTCTGCCTCACGATTTCTGTCAGAGGGAGGCCTTCTCTGACCTCCGTCACATACATGCTCACTTCTCTTTGCTCCAAGTGCAGCGTACATTCCTCTGTTTTAGCATCTACTATGTTTCATTGCAAATATTTGTTGACGTGTGGTTCCCCAGACTGTGAATCCTTTCTTTAATTTCCCGCATTTAGTTACAGTGTCTGGCGTATGTAGAAAATAAATATGTATTAAAGGAATGGTTGTCACATATGACCTTAAGTGAGTCACTTATTTTTTAAGTCTACTAAATAAAATTTTTCAAAATTGTTGTAATGATGAAATAAGGAACGTGAATGTGACTTGTAGGTTATAAACATATTCTAACAGTAATGGGTTTACTCACTGTTTGTAGGCCCTTCTCATCTTTTCCAGTCAAATCCATCTTAATGCTCCAAGGTAGCACTATCCAACAGAAATATAATGCAAGCCATATTTGTAATTTTAAAACTATTTGTAGCCACATTTAAAAAGTTAAAACCAAGTGAAATTAATTTTAATATATTTAACCCAATATACCCAAAATATCAGTTTTTAAATTAAATCTTGTAAATCTTCGAACACATCGCTGTTCAGACCAGCCACATTTGGAGAGCTCACGTGTCACCTGCGGCTACGACTCCCGCAAATTGGACAGCAGCCGCAAGGCCTACTTCAAATAGCAACCTGACTTCCCCTTAGGCAGAATGAGTGACTCCTCTTCAGTGTCTCTCAAGCCCTTTATCCTATTGTGAAAACTAGAGAGTAAGCTACTTGAGGAATTCCAGACTCTTGTCTGGAGAAACCACTCTCGGCCTCGGTCTGGCCTGTATCGGGCCGTTATGCAATTCCAGGTAACTGATGAACCCCTGAGGACACAACTCCGTGGGAGGCCCCGTAGCCAGAGCGGAAAATGGTCAGTCTGGCAAGAGTGCGGGCAAGTGGCCACGGCAGGCTGCGATCCCGGTGCCCACCGCCCTCCAAGCGCCTCGGGCCGTACCCTCCCCAAGGCAGGGGGCGCGGAGGTCCCGGGTTCGGCCAATTCGGGGGCGCCTCAGCCGCAGCCCCTCCCCGCTCCCACGCGTCTCCCTCCCACGCCCCTCCCTCCCACTCCCCGCGCCTCCGCCGCCGCCGAGCCCCGGAAGCGGGCGGGGATTTCCTGTGCCCGCCCCGCCCGCGCCCGCCGGGCCGCCGTCTCCGCCTGTCTCTGGCTCCGCCGGCCGCCGGCTCCCAGACGCAAGCGGAGGGCGGAGGGGAGGGGCAGGCGGCGCCCGGGAGGGAGGCACCGGGCCGCGGGCCAAGCCGACCGGGGGTGAGTGGAGCCGGGCTGGAAGGAGCTGCGGCTGGAGGGAGGGACTCCTGGCTTCCCGGGGCGGCGGGTGGGGGCTCGGTCACCCATGGGGGCGGGGAGGAGGATCGGCGCGGCTTCCGGGTTGCTGCCTTTCCCGGGGGTCTGCCCCGCTGACATTCTGTGCCCGCCCCTCGCCCTGTCTCCCCGTGCCCATCGCAGCTGTCAGGCCCTGCGGGCTTCCGCCGCTGTCACTCGCGCACAGGTTACCCCGTGGCTCCCTTTCTCTTCACTTGCTTATGCCCCAGCTAATGGGAAACCTGTTTTCTGACCTCACTTCCCCTGCTCCACTTCTGCCTTGCTCGGATTCTCTGAAATCTGACCCTTTCCAGGGGCACTGTGACAAGAAGGAGGGAAGAAGCAACCTTACCCCTGAGCAGGCTCCCGTCCCGCCCATGCCCCACCCGTGGCAGGGGCCAGGGTTCTCTGATGGACGGAGCACAACTCGTCCGTGTGCCCTTGGGCTACTCATTTTTATAACATGGCCCCTTTTCTGTTCATCAGCACTGGCTGCAAAAACTTCCTTTTGCAGGTCCCTTGCTACCCGTATGTGTGAAGAAAAGGGGGAAATGAAAGCCCTAGAACGCAGACTCCAGTGGGCATGGGATCATCCTGGAACCAGGAGAAACGAGGTTAGGGCTACCACCTTAACCGCCCAGGTGCTGGCTCTGCGTGAACATCTTAGGAAATGCAGGCTGAGGACAGGTACCCATCCCATCCTTTGCTGAGATTTTTGCTAGCACTTCCACGGATTTCTATCAGTGGTATAGAAAGGCTAACAGCTGGCCCAGTGGGCTCTACAGAAAGAGGCTTCCTATTAAGAGACTCTGCTACCTGGGGGAGATGGAGAAAGGGTTTGAGACAAGTGTCCAGATATGTAGCTAGAGGTAAAGCCTTCAGGGAGGATTTGCACAGGAGCTAGAGAACCAGAAAGATGGGATGAAGAGGGGGAATTAGTGCCCTGTGTGTTAAAAGTGGATACAGAGCTGGAATTCAGAGAAGAGAGCTAAAATGGAAGTTTCCCTTCATTGCTTTAGCAAAAATTTTCCTTTCTCATGAAAAGTCTCTGAAAAGGAAACCTCCAGGGTGCTCCCATGAGGCCCTGAGCCATCTTTGGACTTTTGAGATGAAAGGGGAATTTGTTTTTCCTGTGCATTGGCTTAGGGTTCCCACCTACCTCTTTTGTCAAAGACAAATAGGCAAGAAAATAGATGACTTGACATCTGTCATTACCTACCCTGGCCTTCAAGGTTCTTGCAAATGTTATTAAAAGGATGTAAGTAAGCCAGGATAGTTACCAAGTTTCTGACTGCTCTTGGAAGTCTTTCACGGACTCAAGTGTTTGGTTATTGAATAAGAATACCCAAAACATGTTGCCAAGCAGAAAGAGATTCTCAGATGTCAGATTATTTCTCTGCCATAAAGCCCTATCACAACAGAAGTGTGATCTATCCTGCTCTTAAGATGTCCAAAGAAAAAGAAGAGCCCACTATCTGGTTTTGTACACTGCAGGATTATTAATAATTAAAAAATAATAATAACCTAAATCTCTTCTCTTGCAATCAAGACCCATTTTTTCTGTTTGACCTATGTAGAGATAGAAGGGACCTCTGTTTTTATTCATTAGTAACATCATTCATCAGCCTTCTCCAGACCGAAAAAACTACATCCGACATTTTTAACTTTCCCAGTGGCTGTATTTCCCATCCCTTTCTTGACTTTCATGTCTTCTGATGGACACACCCTGGCTTCTCCATATGCTTCTTTCAAACTGAATATATTTTTCTAACGAGATCTGACTGGTGCCTGACAAACAGGTTTGTTCATCTGGGTCATGTTAGCAGTACTTCTTCCCCCTTTTCCAGCTCTGGTTCAAACTCTTTCTGTTCCTTTTTACTTTTCCTGATTAAACTTCAGCTCCTCACTGACCAACAATTTCTCTTACTTGTTAGGGTTACTTTGGAGTCTTACGCCTGCTTTCCAAGTTATTAGTTTTTCTACCGTATTTACTACCAGTTCTCATTGCCTTTTTGTTGAGGCTTGTCCCAAGTGAGGTACCTTTTGGCTCAGCCTCATGAAAGAGGTGTGTGCTCATGATACAAATACGCCCCTTGGTTGGGACTTCTACCTATAGTAATCATTTCATTCTAAACTGATGAGACTGTGATTTGTGGCAGAAAATCTTCTGTGTGATTACATCCATCTTGTTGAGTGCAGGTCTATGTGTATTTCTTCCTGTATGTTTCCAAACTGCTTACTTTCCTGTACTTCATGTGCTTGAAATTAAATGGATAGCCTTTGAATTTCTGGGACAGTTCTTTTTTTTTAAATGGACTTCTTCTAATCTTCAGGTATATTCTGTTTCCATCATGAGGTCCACAAAATACCAGTTAGTGGCTTTGCTACATAGCACCTGCCAATTTCTTAGTTCCTCCAGGAAGCTTGGTGCAGGCTCAGTTGATCGGAACACATCAAGCTTTTAAAGTTCATCTTCCAGCAAGCTCTTCCTATCTAGTTTCATCTATTATCCCTGGGCCTGTTCTTCATAACTCCCTTAGGAATATCACTCTTTTCCCATTTTCATGGGCATTGCTGATATGAATTTGTTCCAGGTCACAATTTGGGTCTGCAGCAAAAATGCTTTCAGAACAGACAGCAGCTCTGGGGACAGGATGGGAATCAATCAATGTACAGCTGGATGGAGCAGAGCCCCAGGTGGAAAGGGGAAGCAAGGAAGAGGGGCCATGGAGAACAGCACCAGGGCCTCTGGAGCACCTGTGCTGTGACCTTGAAGAGGAGCCACAGTCCCTTCAGGAGAAGGGTGAGAGCCCACAGTGTGTGGGAAGCACAGTGCGTAGTCTCCTAATATTTGTTCCAGAAGTAGGGCTAAAAATCTCCAAATTGTCATGGACTAAATAGCATAAACTTTACCAGGACCAGCCCATTCTTTTTGAGACCTGGTCACAGGTACAAAATAGGCTTCTGAATTCAGTAAACCATGCAACTGGGCTTCTCTTGTTTCTTCATAATTACTCCCTCCACATACAAATGCATAATTAGTGATACTGAATGAGGGAGATGAAGGAAATGACAGCAACCTGATTACTGTTGGATAACTCACTCAGTAAGCTGCACTTTACTAGATGAAAATTACATTCAAGTACTGTAAATTCAAACTATAGCTAGTCTAACTAAAAGCCATCTGATACCCTTTCAGAACATTTTGAATGATGGCCTTCTCATCTACATTTACGCATTTGAGTTTTACCAGCGGGCACAGATACAGAAGCTGTGGCCCTTAAGCCTCTCTAAAATGGGGCCCAGGCCCTATTGAGAAAGGGTAGATAGTTATTCTCTAATGTTTCTTCTCTCTCCTCATCAGCTCAGTCTGCTCCCTGGGTTCCTGCAATTCCCCAGGAGGGGAACACTGGAGACTGGGAGATGGCAGCTGCACTTCTTGCAGCTGGATCACAGGTGAGCTCTGCTTCCCTTGGCCTCTCCTGTGGTCCCATTACTGGTGCCTTTGTATTGCTTTCGCAGCAGCCCATTGATGAGTTGGCTCACATGATCATCAATGGTATGTTCATCTTATAACTGAATAGAATCTATCCCTTTCCAAGGGATCATAAGACCCTTGGAAAATTAAATGGAGCCACAAGAAAGGGAATTCTTGAGGTTAGGGTTTTTTGGGGTTTTGTTTGCTTTGTTTTTTGTTTTTGAGACAGAATCTCACTGTGTCGCCCAGGCTGGAGTGCAGTGGTACGATCTTGGCTCACTGCAACCTCCACCTCCTGGGTTCAAGCAATTCTCCTGCTTCAACCTCCCAAGCAGCTGGACTACTGGCACATGCCACCACACCTGGCTAATTTTTGTGTTTTTAGTAGAGACAGGGTTTTGCCACGTTGGCCAGGCTGGTCTTGAACTGCTGACCTCAGGTGATCTGCCCACCTCAGCCTCCCAAAGTGCTGGGATCACAGGTATGAGCCACCGTGCCTAGTCAAGGTTAGGGTTTTTAATGGATGGCTGTGTTTGTTATCCACAGGAGGATTTTAAGAATAATTACCTTCCCTTAGGAAATAAATCTGGAAAGATTAGGAAAAGAGGACCTGAAGAAAGCTTAGAAGAACCTAAAGTGGAAGGATTGGGTGGATGATGGAACATTTACAGAAAAGAAGAGGAAGAAGGATATAAAGAGGGGCAGAACCTGGGAGGAAAATAGGTTTTGATTCAGAAGGCAATAGGAGAGCTGTGGAAAGCTAATAATAATAGTGTTAGTACTAATAGGAGTACACCCCCAGAGTGCTTATCACGTATGCCATTTTCTGGGTGCTTTATGTATATTAACTCATGTAATTCTGAGAACAACTCAAGTTATCCAATTTTACAGATGAGAAAATGGGGCAGGGAGAGATTAAGGCACTTGTGTAGGGTCATGCTGTGAGAAAGTGGCAAAGCTGAGTCACTTGGCTTCAGATTCTGAGCTCCTAACCACCATACTGTGCTGCCTAAAAATATAAAGATATGGCCAGGCACGGTAGCTCACGCCTGTAATCCCAGCACCTTGGGAGGCCGAGGTGGGCGAATCACGAGGTGAGGAGTTCGAGACCAGCCTGGCAACATGGTGAAATCCCGTCTCTACTAACAATACAAAAAAATAGCTGGGTGTAGTGGTGGGTGCCTGTAATTCCAGCTACTCAGGAGGCTGAGGCAGGAGAATCGCTTGAACTTGGGAGGTGGAGGTTGCAGTGAGCCGAGATTGCGCTACTGCACTCCAGCCTGGGTGACAGAGTGAGACTCCGTCTCTATATAAATAAATAAATAAATAAAAAACAAAGCAAACAAAACCCCAAAAAACCCTAACCTCAAGAATTCCCTTTCTTGTGGCTCCATTTAATTTTCCAAGGGTCTTATGACCCCTTGGAAACGGATAGATTCTATTCAGTTATAAGATGAACATACCATTGATGATCATGTGAGCCAACTCATATCTTTAATGCTGTGGCAAGGGAGGCAAGAAAGAATGTTTTATCTGTAGCATTTTGTGCTGATAGAAAAGGTAAGGTCCAGTGGAAGGAGGAGGAAATGGTACACAATTTCTTCTTCAAAAGAGTAAAGCCAGGGAGAAGTGACTGAGTAGACACCTGTCAACAGAGGGGGTGATGAGTTTGTGGTGCCTCCAGCTTCTCATGGCCCCACTTGGGAAATTCCTCCAGTAACATTACACTCACTCACTCCTTGACCATCTACCTTCACTCCTCTCCTCATTTCCCCTTTACCAAAACTATGTGCCCTACCCAGGGACTTCTGGGCAGCTCTTTTCTCAGATCATTTCTCACCCTCTCTCCTCTACTAAATTAGCCTTTCATACTGAATCACATTTTCCTTGAAAAACAGCTGCTGACAGAAGATGCTACATTTTGTTTCAGGGCCTGGTAACCATCAAGGATGTGTCACTGTGCTTCTCTCAGGAGGAGTGGCGGAGCCTGGACCCCTCTCAGACAGACTTTTATGGAGAATATGTCATGCAAGAAAACTGTGGGATAGTAGTCTCTCTGAGTAAGCATGACCTTCTCCAGCCACTAGAAGATTATACTCTGGGAGGACAGAGCCATCTGCTTCAGGGCTATTGGATAGTGTCTGTCTAGAACCCCTTCTGTGGCAGGGAATCTGTCTATGCTTCTGCCAGAGAAAGAACACTAGGGCCAATCCCAAGAGAATGAGAGAGTAAAGCATCATTAAAAATAAATAAATAAAAAAGCAATTGATGCTGAATTGTGGAGTACAGAACTTGAGGTTTTTCTTGGTTGGGAATTAGGAGGTTCTCACAAAGCAGAGAGAACTGGAACCGGGTCCTTGTAAACTTGGGAACCTTATAGAGGAAGACAGGGATGCAGGGGGTAGGACTGTTGTAGGAGGACTAAAGTGAAGTTATGCCCAGAAAGGCCAGCTGGGCTGGAAAATCTGAGTGGAAGAAAACAGGTTCATTGGGAAGGAGAGTGATTTTCTAGGCAGAGAAGAGGGACTTAACAGAGATGGGTGGGGGAAGAGGTTGGGGTGGGGAGATGTTTCTTTCTTGACCTTCTTTTGTCTAGAGTTCCAAACAATAGGAAACAGTTTTTTGTTTGATGGTTTCAGAAATATAGAATTGCTGTTGAACTAATTGACAGCTCTGTTTTCCTTCCCCACGAGCAGGATTTCCAATTCCCAAACTGGACATGCTTTCTCAACTAGAAGGAGGAGAAGAACAATGGGTCCCTGACCCCCAGGACTTAGAGGAGAGGGACATTCTGAGGGTCACTTATACAGGTAAGAACCTAGAATAGGCTTTCAGCCATTTCCTTCACAGTTCAGGGCATCATCATTCCATGTTCGTCTCATCCCTACTCTGCCTCAGAGAGTTCCAGAGACGAAAGGTTTAGAGATCTTTTTCTTCAAAAGCAAGGGAGTGTAGCAGCATGGTGTAGTAGGCACTTTGTGGATTGGAATTCTGGACTGTACTTGTGGGACCTTTGAAAAGTAATAAAACTCCCTTTGGTTTCTTCATCTGTGAATTATTGTGAAAATTAAATATACGAATATATTAGAATATTAGAACAGAACAGTGCCAAGCACGTAACAGGCACTCAATAAATGTTAGTTGTTGATATTGTTGTCAACCTCCCACCCATTTCAGGAATGCCTTGAGGATTGCTGACAGTTGTCATTCAGCCAGTGACAATTGCAGCACATTCTGTAACCCTCTCCATCTATGCTTAGATAGAAAGATGCTGATTAATAGTAATATATAGTAGTAAATAAATAATGGTAATAAATAATAACAATAGCATATACCATTTACTAAGTACTTAAACTATGTGCAGGTCCTGTGCTATCTATCTTACAACCACCTGAGAGAGAGGTATTTCTTCCCATTTTACAGAAGAAATGAAGGTTTAGAGACGTTAAGTGGGAAAGCTGAGATTCCATCTTGGGTAATCTGCCTCCTAAGTCTAGGCTTTTAACCTCTATATCTGTTGCACTATCTTGTACGACATTAGACTGTGTTCTCTCAGCCCTTCTGGGGTCAAGTCTGGGCGCTGGCAGGTATCAGACAACCTCATTTGTGACTTAGGAAATGTTGTGACTCTTCTCTTGGGGTTGGTATTTCCCCTTCTCCACAGGAGATGGAAGTGAGCATGAGGGGGATACCCCTGAACTAGAAGCAGAACCTCCCAGAATGTTATCCAGCGTTTCTGAAGATACTGTTCTCTGGAACCCAGAGCATGATGAGAGCTGGGATTCCATGCACAGGAGCTCCAGAGGAATGCTCCTGGGGCCCCCTTTTCTTCAGGAAGACAGCTTCTCAAACCTGCTGTGTAGCACAGAGATGGATTCCCTGTTAAGACCCCACACATGCCCCCAATGTGGGAAACAGTTTGTGTGGGGCTCCCACCTTGCCAGGCATCAACAAACACACACTGGGGAGAGGCCCTACAGCTGCCTCAAGTGTGAGAAGAGCTTTGGGCGAAGACATCACCTCATCAGGCACCAGAAAACCCACCTACATGACAAGCCCAGCAGGTGCTCTGAGTGTGGTAAGAATTTCCGATGCAACTCCCATCTGGCCAGCCACCAGAGAGTGCATGCAGAAGGCAAATCCTGCAAGGGCCAAGAGGTTGGAGAGAGCCCTGGCACAAGGAAACGGCAGCGTGCCCCACCCGTGCCAAAGTGTCACGTGTGCACTGAATGTGGGAAGAGCTTTGGCCGAAGGCACCACCTTGTGAGACACTGGCTGACCCACACTGGGGAGAAGCCCTTCCAGTGCCCTCGCTGTGAGAAGAGCTTTGGCCGAAAACATCACCTGGACAGGCATCTGCTGACCCACCAGGGACAAAGTCCCCGGAACAGCTGGGACAAAGGAACATCTGTCTTTTGAAATCTGTTTCCACTACAGCTGTGGTCAAGTCTATCAGCTGGTGCTACTAGGAGTCACTGCCAGGGCTGCCGTTCTTCTGAACCCCAGGGGCAGAATCATGAGCCCTAACCCCATCCCTAGAAAGATGAGGTCCCAGCAGTGGCCAGAGCATTTCTCACCAGTTCTGTGAGATAGCACATAAAAATAGAGTTCTTTGGGCAAAACTTTTGGGAAGCAATGCATCCTACGTGGGCTGATATTCAGCCTGAGCCATTCTCAAGAGGAGAGTGGTACTGGCAGTTTATGGCTGAAATCCATTCTGATTTGTTGGAGTCTATGCTATACCAATTGTTAAATATTTTGAGTATCACTTTTGCATACTGTTACTATTTTCTCTCTATATATAGAGAAAGGCCATTTTAGCATAGTAAAGGCTCTGAAAATTTCTGCAGTAGACCAAACTGAAGATTCTATTAATGCAGTGTTTCCTAAATGTATTTGACCTCAGTATCCTTTCTATTTGCATCCCACAGAACCAGTGACTATGAAACACTCTGGTGAACACTGGGTTAGAGAGTAATGAGGAAATGAGACTTAGTAATCAGGCGTCCAGAGCCCCTCCTTTTATCCATATGAAAGCCAGCGGGGCCAGGCCTTGTTTCTGTGTGGGTCTGTCTGCCTTACCCCAGTCAGCAGTATATACATCTACACCTCTCACCCTCACCTGCTGAAAAACATAACCTTTTTACCCCTTATTCCTACTCCCTTCATCCTGCACATACATATATCCAGCTGAGAAATCACACTACAAGGCTAAGAGATGACCTAATACCCCCAAATAACCCAGGTCCACACAGAAAAAAAAAAAAAAATTATCCTCTTGAGCAGACCCCTCTCTCCTCTTGACTGTCTTTTTGTGTCTTGTGTATTTGTGTGCAGGGTCTTTGAAGAGAGCATGCTATGTGCAAACTGTACAAGCTAGGTTTTCTAGGGGCTGTGTTCTGGGGATGAGGGTAGTGGGGATTATATGGGTTTCTGTTTCAAGACAGGAAGCAGTCTGATTAGGGAGCAGTAGTGGAAAGGGTTAAATGACAGGTTAAGTTGTGGGAGTTGAGTACAAAGCTTTCCCAGTTATTGCTGAGATCAAGACAGTTGTGAATGTGTGTGTCTAGGTCTGAATCTCTGGGCTGCAGATTGCTTTTAACTGGGCAGAGAAAAGTCTGGGGAGGTGAGCTGTTTCTTATTGATTTCAGGCAAGAGGCACAGAAACTTTGTATTGACTGGGGATTTTGTTTTAAGTGCTGGAAAATTAGAGCAGGAATTACCATGTTTGCAAGTTGTTGCCATCACTCTTGTTTGACTTTGCCTCATCAAGGGGCAAGAGTTATTCTTGAAGATCTCATTCTCCCAGAAACAGAACTTTAGGGGAAATGGCTGTGGCTTAGCTTTTCAGCTGATGCAGGGTAATGAGCTTTCTGGTTGGTTTTCCTTCCATTTCTGGAAAGATGTCCACACTGAGACCCTTAACTCTAGGGCTTGCATAAGTATTCTAGCATCGTTAGTTGGTCATTTTTTCTCTTTATCAATGATTGTGTTAACATCAATCTTATAACTTAAAAATCGTCTTGTATGCAAGAGCAGTTTGGTGTTAGGGAGGAAGAAGAGCAAAGTGGGATATTTTGTTTTTAATGCTTAGATATTGTTTCTTCCCTAAGATGTGTTTCGCAACCACAATTGGTGGAGTGAACCAGAGAGGCAAGAGGAAGTGAGTTGCAACAATTTAGTTTAGTGACTGTGCCTTTTGCAGGAAAAACTGGGTGAATCACAGCTCCTCAGAGTCCTGGACTCAATTAGAATTGAAGATAGACTTATTTTGCTGACTGGGCTTCTTAGAGTTTATGTGACTTGAGCAGCTTGGCCCCTGCCTCCTGCTACTCTGAGCAGCCTTCCTTCTTCCTGGAATGCACTTCTCTTGTTTATGATCCTATGAATAAGGCAAAATGGCCGGCCTTTGTAAGGCAGGTCTTGCCCTAGGTTCTCAGAATCAGGAGCATTTTAGGATCAGTATTAGGAAATGTCCCAGGGAGTAAGAAAGCATTGGGTTCTGATAAATCTGGACTCTGCCACTTCTTTTACTCTCCCTCTTTAAGACTAAAAGCTCTGCATAAGCAATGGTTCAGAACATGTCTTGGGTACAGACCTGTTGAATCTGACAGAAACCAGAAACGCACTTTTGAGAAAAAGACATTTGTAATTCACTGAGTTTTCCATACACATTTAGCAGGTTCAAAGCCTATCTGTGGAATCCCTAAACTGCCTTCAAAGAAAGGGAGTTACCCTGATCTAAAATGGTCATTATATATTTGTGTCAAGAGGCAAGGGTCACTAAATATTTTAAGGATTAAGGTACCAGAGGCATCAGTGTATAAGGATATAGTCTGGTGTTTAATTATGACAAGGGTATTGATTACATTCTACTGTCTGGGTTTCAAAAAGATCTGACATGCTGACAAATCCAGCTCCTCATAAATCTTGTTTGAAGGACTTGTGGGAAGTGGTATTCCTTACTATTAGATCACGCCTCTTAATAACTACATGTTAACGTCCAGCCTGTTATCTGTTTGAGTAATTGTAGGGATAGAAAGTGAAGCCCCCAGAGTTAGGTGCAAGTATAGCACCCAGCTGAAAGGCATCATGGAGTCTAATGACCTTCTACAGAAGGGGCAATCCTTTGGGTTATTTCTGGTGTACCGCTGTCTTCTCTACCTCGGTCCAACACCACCTCCCTTGGACGAAAAATAAAACAAGCAACAGCTATCAGATGAGTGAATAGATTTGGATGATTTTTCCCACAGGGAATAAGCCTCAAATGTTCATGTTTTATGCTGTCCCCTTTAAAAAGAGTCTCTATGTTCTCTTTGGGCAAAATGTAAAACAGGGACATCCATCTTCAGGAACTTGTCACATTTTTCCATCTGTGATGCCTCCACCCTATTCTGAGTATCCTCCCCTTTCCACCCCAACATAGTATCTTTCAAAGAATTCCTTGCACCGGATAATGTATCCCAAAGTGTTAGCTTTTCACAAGGCTATTTACACTTTAAGCCGTAGTTCTCACTGTAGAAGGAAAAACTTTTCCTTTGTCAAAGTAATGTTATGGCTTTAGAGAACTAAAGAGGTGATAATTTGGGACAAAATTCCTCCCTTTCCAACATTCCTGCAATCAAACTACTGTTTCCTAGTTCCATAAAGGGCAGGTCCTGACTCAGACCTAGAGGCGCCAGAAGGCCAGTTCTTTCCATCTCTGTATTAGGATGAATGCACTGAATGGGAGTGGGTGGGGCTGGGCAATAACACAAAAGTGAAATCCATTTATTTAGAGCCTTAGAGAGCCTCAGCTAGCAAAATTTCCCTCTGTTTCCTTGTGTGCCATACCAAACTGTGACTCTCAAAATTTGGTCTTTGGGCCAGCAGCATAAATATCACCTGGAAACTTGTTTGAAATGCAAATTCTTAGCCCCTGCCCCAGGAGAACTACTGAATCAGAAACTCGGGAAGGAGCTCAACATTCAGTCTTTTAACATGCCCTCCGGGATGTGTGATATAAGCTAAAGTTTGAGAACCACTGGCTAGGGGGTTCATATTTCAGTGGTACCTCACTGTTTTCAAATGGATCTTCACACTCCTGTTGTCAGGTTTATTCTCTGCAGCCTCACTAGGCTAGACCTCAGTTCCATTCCCCTTAGTTGCAAGGTCTTCTTCCACTCTTAACTCAGTAAAAGAACTGGGGCTAGTCACCAATATCAGAAACTGTGGTGGGGCAACTACCAAGCCCCTATGATTGATTAGGGCTGGGGCTTCCAATATGGGCACTGAGGATACTTGGGTCCAGAAATCTGAAAGGACAGAAAGGAACAAACAACTCAAAGATAGAAAATCCCACGTAAAACTGAAAAACTGACATCCAAGGAAATGTTTCCCCTTTGCTTTGTCCTTTTCACTGGCTCTTCTAATAAAAGGCAGGTGGAATGGGCACCTAGCACAAAGGTAGAGTAAGGCCTGCTATGCCAAGCCCTTAAGGACTCATGTGTTCCAACATAAAAATTGGATTAAAGACCAACGAGGGGCCATGGAAGGGATTTCTAACCATGATTTGGCATACCCTATGGGCAAGGGCAGCAGGAACATCAGAGTAACCAGGGCACAAGAGGGAACTAGGTTTTTCTAGTAAGATTTGACACAAGCAAGATTTAAATCCAGACTCTGCTTACTAGGTAGAGGTTGTAACCAATGAAGCCATGGTACCCAAAATGCATTCTGTTGCTTAGAAGATTCTGACAGATTCAGGCTGTGGGGAGGAACCTTCCTTGCAGTCTCTGACCCTGCTACCTCCTCCAGTTCCTCTCCCAGGTGCACCTATGAGGATAGACTGAACTGACAGTTACAATTCTGCCCACAGGGCTTCTCCATGGTCAAAAGATTAGACCCCTAGGCTGAGACTTTCTTCAACTCCAGGCCTTATGCTCTCTCCTTGCTTTCCTGCCACCACCTCCATTTTCCCAACAGGCAGTATTCTTCCTCTACTCTTTGTTCCTACTCTTTTTCAGATTTTTTGTTTGTTTGAGTTTTGCCTTGTTCTGACTGAGCAATAACATGCCTTTCCAAGGGCATTTGTTCTCTCCAATCCCCATCCTTCTTCCATTCTAGTTTCTCTCTTCAAATTTCTGGCCAATTCTATTCCATCATGAGCCCACTTACCACCTATTCCTCTGCCTACTGTTCAGTTTCTTTTCTATCAGCTTTAAGCCTACTAAGCAGGGGTCAATTCATACTTCCCACTCTCATCCTCCAAATTCTTGGTTTGGCTATAGCAATTCATCAGCCTCCTCACCACTCTGCCCCTTTCTCATACACACCCCCACAGGACACCACCACCACTCCACCCCCTGCCTAGTACTGCCAAATCTGATCCCTCCATTTCCTAGACATTCTTCTTCCTTTCAGATAACTTCCAAAGTTGTTTTCCACTTTTCACCATTTTTAATTTACTTCCTTCTAGTCTCCTGTGACTCCTGAGAATCAAACTCTTAATTCTACAAGCAATTTTTTGTGTCCTTATTACGTGCCAGGCACTGGAATTTCAGGCCTGGGAAATCAAATGTGGCCCTTGCTCCTGCTCTCAGTGTGTTCTTCAGTCAAGCCCTCCCCCACTTTCCTGCCTTGTCTCTTGCCACCAGGCACCTGGGCATCCTCTTCCGGGAAACTTTGGGGATGAATGCCCACTTGCCATGCAGCCCAACTGCTCCGTGCCTATCAGATTTCTAGCTATTATCTGAATTGGTTCCTTCTGATGAACTGTGAACTTCCTTGGGTTACCCAACAGGGGACTTATGGTCCCTGTCAGTTTAATAAAAGTGTTGGCTGTGTCACTTATTTCTTCTCTAGGTCTTCTCCTTCACTTTTCCCTCCATTCCTGCTCTTTGCTCCTGACAAAAAGACTACCACAGAACGGGGGAAGATAAGCCGCAGAATCTTCTGAGAACCACCTCATCTCACTGCCTGAAACATAAGCCTCCAGACACAACAGGTTGGGCCTCACCACCTCCCTCTGGCATCCTGGCCCCCATATGCTCCTGAGTCAGCCAGACACTCGATCCAACCTGGAGAGGCTGGAGGATTGGGCTGGTGGTCTACTCCCAGGGGGCACTTCAGCAGCAGACTACTGAGCAGGGCCAGGACTAGGGAGATCGCCCAGCATGTGAGTTTAAGGAGGCCCTCAGTTTCAAGGCCCTGCAAGGGCTGACCTTACTCTTGAAGATCTAAGAGTGCTGAGCTCAAGTCTGGAGCCACCAAGTGGTGGCGGTAGTGAGTGCGACTTGACCCCTTAGGCATGTTCGCAGTAATTGGATATTCCTGGGATTGAGAGGATAGGGTAGGGTAGGAAATGGTTGTGGGAGAAAACATGGAAAGCAGGTGTGGAGGTAGGGTCAGAAGCCACTGTCCATTAACTCAGTGACAAAGCCTCCCCTCTTGGACAGGAAGGGCCTGTGGTGAGTGCAACTCAAAGGCGTGGCTCTTCCTCTACAGGAGTTGCCTTAAAAAGCCTCAAGCCTATTGCTTAGGGGATGAATGATCCTCAGATGCCTTGCAGCTTTCCTTACCCCAGCCGGATTGTTTTGTTGCCCCGGGCCTCATAAGTTTCCTTATTTTCTTGTGTTCACTCTTACTTCCCCTCGGCCACTTGGAGTCTGGTCTTTTCCATCACCAAAAAGGGAAGGAGATAAGGGAATTGAGAAAAGGGAAAAGAGAAACACAGCCACTATGACTGTCCACTAGCTAGAAATCTGGCAGGCACAGGGATGATATAAACTCCCACCAACACTGTAGATGAGTGCCTGTTTCCCCACAGCCTTACCAGTAGAGTAGGCTCTCAAACATTTGGATTTTTGCCCATCTGATTAAAAATACTTTTTTTTTTTTTGGTATTAATGTGTAGTATAGTTTATTTATGCATTTCTAAATTGGACCTTTTCATGTTTTTAAAAGGACATTTTTGTTTCTGTTAAGTGTTTTTCAAACAACCATTGAATATTTGTTCTAGAGGACATCTAACATTCGTTACAACTCAAGTCCAACAATGATGTGATCAGCATTACACTAAGCAGTTGAGGTAAAAGAAAAGCAAAGAATTGGGTCAGGGTCATTCAATTTGCTCTGACTAAAGTTAAATACCCAAATGTGCCACTCAAATGTGAGCTCAGAAAAGTGGAGATTATGTTTTATCCATTTTAGTATTCTCAGCACAGGGCCTAGAATCTTGCAGGCACTTAGTCATTAATGAATACTAGAGATGAGATTGGCTGTTCTTGGGAATGCCTCTGGCTGAGTACCCAGCCAACATTATGATCTTGATAATCTGGGTAGCTTGCTAACGAGATATGGTCATTTCTTATATTTCATTGGAGTATAGCCACCCTAAAGCTTATCAATGAAAAATAATCTGAGATGACCATTGTTAGCTATATAAGGTCAAGATCTGGGTCTCTCATGTCTGCTACTGTTCCTGCATATGGTGGGCACTTAATAAATTAGATACATTTTGGTGAATGAATGGAAGTTTGAAATGAAGAAACCATCATAAAACAAATATAAGTGTGATGGTTTTTAGGAAATCTAGAAAACAAATTTTTCCCAGTATCATTAGATACTTAGAAGAAAAAGACTAATACTAGACCACCTAGTATTGCAGCCTTCTTATTCAGTTTAGTGAGGTCTGAGTTCTTGTCCCACGACGAAGAAGAAGGCAAGTGGACACCAGAGAGTGAGTAAGGCAGAGTAGCATTTACTAAGCAACAGAAAAGCTCTTAGCAGCAAGAGGGGACTCAAAAGTGGGTTGCCAGAAATGGGGCTGAGTTATGGGTTTTTTATGTGGCAAAAAGAAGTCTTCTGTGGTTTCTGTCATAGTGGGAGGGGTAAAGTTCCCCCAGGGGTGTTGCACCATAGTGACTCCATCTTGGTTATTACCCAAGCGCCTTAGTGAAACCCATGGTGGTGGGGAGGTGCCCAAACCACAGTGCTAATGATATTACAATTAACTCTGGGTCATGTTCAGGACATTTAGTTGATTTATTGTGCCTGTGCCTAAGTTGGGACAGTCCCTTCTGAGCAGACATCCTGGTATAAGAGGAAATTCTTAACCACATTTCCATCTGCTAGTTACACCGTAGGGACAATACAGGTGCAGTCCCACGGGCACCGTCTCTCTCCCAAGACCCTCCCTCTCTATCTACCTAGCCAGCCTCTAATTGCCTCCTCTCTCACTGGTTCTTTAGGTAAAAACATCCTAAGACTAGACAGGGGGTAATACATCTGGCTATCATCAGGGCACTTGATTAACTTTATTCCAATTGTGTTCAGTAGACAATGTTTGATTTTCTCATTGCCTCTTTTCAGAGGCCTTCTTCCACTCACATTCATGTGCATAATAAACTTAATTACAACATGAGGAAATATCAAGTTCCGATCATCTATAGATGAAATAACGTTACAAGAATTCTGCAGTTACTAGGCTTTGCATAGGCTTAAAGCAGTGATTCTCAAGGGTGTGAAAGGGTAAATATTAGCATCACTTAAGGGTGGTTTTTTTTGTTTGTTTGTTTGTTTTGTCTGTTTTAAATACACATACCCTGTTGCCCCTTGTAGGACATATCATACTCTCCTAAGGAAAAGCTTGGTCAGGTATACCTGGAGAAAGCTCCCAGGAGGTTCTAATACCTTCCCACTGCCACTCTTACCTCTTTAAGAATAAAAAGCACTTCCCAGCCACTTCCATGTCCCCATTCCTTTGACTTCGGCTGAAAACAGCTACTCCTTTCCTTGAATCAGCTACTTTGACGTTTTACTTCCCTAGGAATCATTTCTGTGTCCTGTCAGCCTATGGCATGAGAACTACTCTTGCACTGTTCTTAATCCCTGCATTCAGAACTAAAATCATACATTTCATACTTGTTACACAGTGTTCAATACATGTTGTTATTGTTAAGAAAAGCAAAAGACCCATTCATTATCTAGCCTTCATCTCCTTGTATTTCTGCTATGCATTCTGTAAATCTTCATAATTTCCTCTTTAGGAGTTGGCACTTTCTCAGAAGATAATTTCCTTATTGCTGAATTTTGTCAAGCAAACCATTATGCCATGATGTTTAAGTCCCCTTTTCATTTGAATGACATTTAAATCACTTAGACGTCATCTTAGCCCAATCCCAACATTTTACCGAGAAGGAAACCAAGACCACGAATGGTTAAGAAAAGACTCAGCAAAGGTCAGACTAGCAGAACTTTGACTAGAATCCTGGTCTTAGTACATACTGGTCCAGTAGTTTTCTGCTGTAGCACATTACCACCCCGTCGGAAATTAATTATACACATATTTAACTCTCAGTGATGAGTACCTACCCTATGCCAGGCCCTATGCTGTATGCTTTCACACACTTATTTAACTGAGGATTAACCTAAGAATATTTTTTAAATTAAACTAGGTTATCGATTCAAGGCAAAAACTACAAACTCATTATAATCAATTTTGGGAGGACTTTGTCCTAAAAGGAATTTCAGGTAAGAACACTACGAATCAGTGGGGCCACTCAACTTAAAGACTGTCCACACTTTTCCCAATATGCCCTCCTCCCCAGAACTCAATTTGAATTTGCTAGAGTATCTAACAACTTCAACACTTGTTAAGCTGCTGGTTTTCCTCTGTTTTCTGTCCTTCTAAAAGATATTTCTCTGAGTTTTGCAGCAGGAACAGAATCTGTTAATTTACTCTCTTCGCTGCACGTTACCACCACCCACCCCTTCCCTTCCAGGTGCGGCAAAGAGGAAACAGACACAAGGTGGTCGAGAGGTCCATTTCATTTCAATGAGTGTGAGAGCCGCTCTTCTTGGGGCCTATGGGGGAAAGGCATTTGTCCGTGGTGGGAGTGAAGCTGCTCCCACAAGATGCACTCCCGACTGCATTCCGAAGACCTTCAGATTTAGGGAAGGTCTTTGTGGAAGTCTTTAGTGGAGTCTTCCCCTGCCCGCTAGATGTCCGGTCGGTTTTAGCCGGCGTTGGCTTCTGGATGGTCCGCTGTGCGTGCTTCTTAGGCTCCTGCTTCTCTTCCCTGGGTTTGGAGCTTCGCCTCTTGTCCTTCCCTGACCTCGGCCTGGTGTGTTCCTTCACGGCCCGTCCTCGCCTCTCGCCTGCCGCTGTCGCTCCCGCTTCCACCTTGGCTCTGGCACACTGCGGCTCCTTGGCTCTCGGCCTCGCCCTCCTTGTCCTCCTCGCCCTGGCACTGGCCTTGGCTTTCGCCCTCGCGTTCAGTCTCCACACTTCTCTGGCCTTCCTGGCCGCCTTGCGAAGGGGCTGGCGGCGCCTCCGTGAGCTCCGGGACGCGGCTGCGGTCCTCCGGCTAGCGCGCGCGCCCTCCTCTTGCCTCGCGCGCCCCGGCTTTCTCCTGGGCTTGGAAACCTTCCAGACCCTGAAGCAGCCGGCGGCGTCGCTGCCGCTGACCCGAAGGAGCGTGGCCTTGGCCTGCCCTCTGGGCGCTTCGTGGCGGCCGCTCTTCCTGCGCATTTCGTAGCCGGCGTTTCCGAGCTCCTTCCTGAGAGCTGCCAGAGTCAGCCCTTTGTGAGCGGTGATGGCCCGGAGCACCAACTGGGACACTTTGAGCACGGACCGCGGGCAGCGCCTCGATGGTCCCCCGACAGTTTTTTCCGCTGGCGGCTGAGTGACTGAGTGGCCTCGAGATTCGCCACTGGGCCCAGGCGCCTCAGCCATGGCCCCACTCCCGCCTCTGCGGGGCCACTAGCTTTGGGCCTCACCAGTCAAGGCCTGTTCCATAGCTGAGGTGGACGGGGCCACGTCACAAAGGCGGGCCTGGCAGAGATTTTCAGGTCCTAATTATGAGGCTGGCAGATCTCACCCAGGGAGGGGCCCTTTTCACTTATAATAACCAATCAAATGCCACTTCCTTCTAGGTCTAAACCAATCCAAGTCTTCAGCGCCTGTCCACCCCCAACAATCACCTATACAGTCTCCAGGGTTTTGTTCCCAGATCAAACTTACTGATCTTGATCTCCACCGCTTTCTTTTTATTTATTTATTTATTTATTTATTTAATGAAGTTTTATTTTTCCCAATGTACAGTTGGTTGGACCTATTCATGCATCTTCACCAGCAGCTGGAGCATGTCCACCCTTGGTATTTCCGGTGTAAATTACTTGAGCTCTGTGCTTTGAAACCAGTTTGATAAGTCCTTTACTAAGGAGCTCCTGAAGGGCTGCCCTGGCCAGGGAGCCTCGAATCTTCAGTCTCTCAGAGACCACAGCTGGGGTTGTAAGTTTATAGTTGGGAACTTCCTTACAGAGTTTGTCGTAGGCAGCTTTGTCAAACAAGACTAAGTTAATGAGCTTGTCCCGAACTTTGCCTTTGGACCGCTTCTTCTTTTTGGCCTTGCCCCCGGATTTGTTCACCGGGTCTTTGTCTTTCTTGGCCGACTTTCCGGCGTCCTTCTTCTTGTCGTCCTTGGGCGGCATTGCGAAGCTCGGAGAGCAGCAGCGGACACCACAGGCTTGCTAAGATGTCGGACAAAAAGCTCCACCGCTTTCTTTAGTTGGCTATTTTGTGTGTGTATATGGTCCCGCACACCATCTACTCACAGTTCCTTAAGGTGAGAGAAGCTGCTCCCAACTATCCAAAACAAGCAACACACTGCCTGTAGAAAGCACACAGGGTAGTCCATGAAACACAACCCAGCCTAAAACTACCACCTTTAATTCCACCAGTCAGGTATCTGAAGTTATGTCTCCCTAATTCTACACAGTGGATTCTGTGCAAGAGCATGAAGTAAAAGAAGGAACCAACTGTGTGGTCCCTCTAACCTAAACACTGATTCCCACACCTGGGAAATTTAGATGACGCATTCAATTGGACTGAAACAATCTAGATTTCACATCGCCTGAGGACACTGGTCTAATCCTTATTCTTTGAACATACTGTGTTTTTCTCCCTCTCATCCCCTCTCTTGGATTGCTCATCCTCTTTGTCTGCCCAGATAAGTCCTGCTCATCTTTCAAGGTACTGCTACATTATCCTTCTTCACTGAAGACTCCCCAAACTCTTTCAAATGACTTCTTCCCTCTTAACTACCACAACCACAAAAATTCCTTCTGCAATCTTATATGGCTTTTTCTTTATTTTAAATTAACTTGGCATTAGAGGGTATAATGTGACACAATATTTTTTAAAAAGAAAAAAAACTTGGACTTGGAGCTGGAAGATATGGATGCATATCCTAGCTCTTTAGGAGCCATATGACATTAACAAATCCCTTAATATCAGCAGTGTGGCTGTGGGATGGATGTGCCGACCATCTGACTTCTTACCTAACATCACATTCCCTTTCTACCAACATCACAGAATTATTGCAAAGTTTCAGAAGAGGTAGATAAGCAAGGGCTACCTAAATATAAGGAATAAATTTACTTTACTTTGAATGTTTCTGTCTTGTCTTTCCAACTAAATAAAAATATCCCCAAGAGCTATAGGCTTTGAACTTCTATGTCCCATGCTGCACCTAACAATATGCTTCATTATACATAGCAGGCATTTAATTAAGCCTGCTTACATCATTCCTCTCTGGTGAGGAGAGTTTTTCTAGATTCAGAAAGAAACTTCCAGAAGATCAGGAGAAAGGACCAGAGTGAATTTCAAAGGGTTGGAAATGAAGGGGGCCAAGTAAGGATTAGCTTCTCAAGGACCTATTTTGGATACAGTTTAGTTGGGAATAATTCAAAGAATTATTCTAAGAATACTTCAAATTGCCAAGCATATCATACTTTTCCAGAGGGCAATCACATACATTCAGCAGTCACAGGCTAGACAGTGACAGTTTCTTTTAAAAATCAAAACTCCAGGAAGTAGCTTAGACCAGTGTTTTTTTGTTTTTTTTTGAGACAGAGTCTCACTCTGTCACCCAGGCTGGCGTACAGTAGTGCAATCTCAATCAGGATCACTCCTGACCTCAAGTGATCCACCCGCCTTGGCCTCCCAAAGTGCTGGGATTACAGGTGTGAGCCACTGCATCTGGCCCGTATTTATTTATTTATTTATTTTTTGGTAGAGACGAGGTTTTGCCATGTTGGCCAGGCTGGTCTCGAACTCTTGGTCTCAAGCAATCCACCCACTTCAGCCTCACAAAGTGCTGGGATTATAGGCATGAGCCACTGTGCCCAGTCAGACCAGTGCTTCTTAAACTTCAATGTGCATATTTAGTACCCTGGGATACGCATAAAGTACAGATTCCAATTCATAGGTCTGAAGATAGGGCTAGAGGTTTTACCTTCTAAGAAGCTTCCATGTAGTTCCATCTGGTTAAAACATAGGTGTGTGTTGAGGGGCAGGGAGAGGGTGGTAGACAATGAGAAGGAAGTAGCAGGAGAAGGGACCGAAAAGGTAGGTAAGGGACGTTGTGAAGGACAACTAATGATAATGACAGAGCTGTAAGTGGTGACACAATAGCAAGTGGTAAAGTTTGGAATCAAACCTAAGTCTACTTAATCCTAAGGCCTAAGTTCTTAAGTACTGTGTTAGGTTTCCTTTTCTCTAGGGTTGACCCTCTCCCTATTATGTAACTCCACCATAGAGCAGGGGCTAGTTTATGTCCATAATTGCAGTTCAGAGCTGCTCAGATTCAAGAGTATCTAAAGGTACTCACTGTACCTTTTCCCATCTTTAAAATCAGGGCACAGTAATGTGACCCTGAGGATTTACACGGCAGGGGACTACTGCATCAGCACAGGGACAGTGCACTCAGGAAGGATTGCCAGATGGAAAGGCAGGACCACATTGAGCAGGATTTCTCCCATTTGTATAGTCTCTTGGTCTAGCTACCCTTCCTGGTTGCAGAGAACAGTGGCCACAGGATGGGGCAAACACCAGATAAAAAAGAGGCAAAACTGTTTGCTTTGAGAATAAGGAAAAAAATGAGTGAAGTCAGACCCTTAAAGTCAGCTGATCCAGATAAAAATAGACTTGACTGTATATAATGGTATAATCATGAAAGACAAGAACAAAATCAACCAACCATGTTTATTGATGCCTCTGTGATCAGAAGGGAGGTCAAGTAGAAACCTTTGGGAGAAGCCAAAATCAAAGGAAAACAAATAAATGAAAAAAAATCAAAAACATCAACAGCAAAAAAGCAAACATTTTCATTTATACATATAAAAATATTCATTTTTGTATAGATCTCTGTATATATATGCTGTAAGCAGTAGAGGAATACTTTTTTTTTTTTAATAAGAGCAGGAAACAAAAGTCCCACTTGCCACTCAGCTGGCTCAGAGGGCAAGAAAGCTAGCTGACAGATATTTTCCAAATCACCAATCCCTTAAGAGTTCTTTTCGGCCGGGCGCGGTGGCTCAAGCCTCTAATCCCAGCACTCTGGGAGGCCGAGACGGGCGGATCACGAGGTCAGGAGATCGAGACCATCCTGGCTAACCCGGTGAAACCCCGTCTCTACTAAAAAATACAAAACACTAGCCGGGCGAGGTGGCGGGCGCCTGTAGTCCCAGCTACTCGGGAGGCTGAGACAGGAGAATGGCGTGAACCCGGGAGGCGGAGCTTGCAGTGAGCTGAGATCCGGCCACTGCACTCCAGCCCGGGCAACAGAGCGAGACTCCGTCTCAAAAAAAAAAAAAAAAAAAAAAAAGAGTTCTTTTCTTCCTCTTTGGAAGAAATCTACTTACTAACTCTCTTCTTCTGACATCCCAAAAGGAAAAGATACTTCAGAAAAGTGATCTCTTTAGGAAAAAGTCAGTGAAAACCAGCACCACACCACTAATCCAGAGATACCAACTCCAGCTCCACAAAGGCAAGCCTGAAGTATTTCTTTGAATTTTAATGGTCTAAGATTATAATTCAGAAGTTATCACTTAAAGAGGATGGCATCAACCTTTTGCGAGAAAGAGCAATAGCTCTTAATTTAATGAAGCTTTGTGGGTCAGGGGTGAGAGGGTTGTAGGGAGGAAGAAGGATACTTGGGAATGATGTCTAACCTATATTCTTCTGCTTTGAGTTCCAGAGCAAAATAGTTTTTGTTCTTGGAGGTCTCTAGAGGAACTTGGTTGATTTAAAGAGTAAGCAACATTTAAATGCTAAATTCCAGTAATATCAGAGGTTTCATTAATCTCACTCCCTCATACAGAGCTATACTGATTTAATTTCACCAAGGATAACTCCATGCCAGAGCATAGCAGAATTCAGTAGTATACTGATCTAACGTCAGTCTATCTCACTGCCCCTCCCTGGATCCACAGGCCTGGGATTCCAAGGTCCTGAGTCTTTCTGACTCAATTATCTTTTATAAGGAATTTTTTATTTTATCCTACTCCAGGGGATTGCTAGCAAACAACCAGCACACCTTTCCCTTCCCACCAGCCAACTGATGGTCAATATGTGGGTGAAAGCCCTACAGACTCTCCCTGCTGTACACCAAGGAAGTACAAGCAACTAATCTGTGTCCTCTCTCTCCTCACCAGCAATGAGATGGCCCCTCAGAGGCAAAGCCTGTTGCCTCTTACCCTAGGACAGGCAAGTGTGGCAGTGGCAGATTCGGCAGAGAACCCTATCAACAGCACAGGGAAGCTAATGCTCTGGTCAGAAACCCAGGAGTGGGGAACCCCAGGAACCAAAGAGTGAGTAGAGAACCAAGAAAATGAGGGGGCCGGAGAAAGGGCACATTAAAGTTAGTGTATGGAGTCCTTATCTCACCCCTAGTTGTACATGCTAAGATTGATGAGAATCAGGGCTGGGCGCAGTGGCTCACGCCTGTAACCCCAGGACTTTGGGAGGCTGAGACAGGCGGATCACGAGGCCAGGAGATCGAGACCATCCTGGCCAATATGGTGAAACCCTGTCTCTACTAAAACACAGAAAATTAGCCAGGTGTGGTGGCACAGGCCTGTAGTCCTGGTTACTCAGGAGGCTGAGGCAGGGGAATCGCTTGACCCAGGAGGTGGAGGTTGCAATGAGTCGAGATCACGCCACTATACTCCAGCCTGGTGACAGTGAGACTTTGTCTCAAAAAAAAAAAAAAAAAATATATATATATATACATATATGTATATGTATATATATATATAAAAATTTCATAATTAGAAATCTCAGTAACAGAAATAGTAAAATCACTGTAGGGGTTCATAGCAGAATAGAGATTACAGAAGAAAGAGTTGCTGAACTTGGAGATAGAAAGTATCCAATCTGAAAAACAGAAGAAAGGCCAGGCACCGTGGCTCATGCCTGTAATCCCAGCACTTTGGGAGGCCAAGGTGAGCAGATCACTTTATCAGGTGTTCAAGACCAGCCTGGCCAACACGGTGAAACCCCATCTCTACTAAAAATACAAAAACTGGCCAGCCATGGTGGCCACACACCTGCAGACCCAGCTACTTGGGAGGCTGAGACAGAAGAATCACTGGAACCTGGAAGGTGGAGGTTGCAGTGAGCCGAGAGCTGAGATCGAACTACTGCACTCCAGCCTGGGAGACACAGCAAGACCCTGTCTCAAAAAATTAATAAATAAATAAATAACGGAAGAAAAAAGTTAAAAAAAATAATTCTTTTAGAATCAGATTTGACCCAGCAATCCCATTACTGGGTATATACCCAAAGGATTATAAATCATTCTACTATAAAGACACATGCACACATATGTTAATTGCAGCACTACTCACAATGGCAAAGACTTGGAACCAAACCAAATGTCCATCAGTAATAGACTGGATAAAGAAAATGTGGCACATAATACCACAGAATACTATGCAGCCATAAAAACAATGAGTTAATGTCCTTTGCAGGGACATGGATGAAGCTGGAAACCATTATTCTCAGCAAACTATCACAAGAACAGAAAACCAAACACCGCATGTTCTCACTCATAACTGGGAGTTGAACAATGAGAACACGTGGACATAGGGAGGGGAACATCACATACCAGGGCCCATTGGGGGATTGGGGATTAGGGGAGGGATAACATTAGGAGAAATACCTAATGTAGGAGATGAGTTGATGAGTGCAGCAAACCACCATGGCACGTGTATACCTATGTAACAAAACTGCATGTTCTGCACATGTTCCCCAGAACTTAAAGTATAATTAAAAAAAAAAAAAGAATCAGAGACCTCTGAGATAGTATTTTTAAAAAAACACGTTTGTGTTACAAAAGTTCCAGAAGGAGGGGAGAAAGACATTGGAATAGAAAAAAAATACATATTTTAATAAATAATGGTTGAAAACTTCCCAAATTTGGTAAAAGGCATAAACTTACAGATCCATGAAGTAGAGCAAAACCAAAATATATCAATTTAAAAGAAAACCACAGTCAGACTACAAAATCAAACTGTGTAAGATAACTGGGAAAAGACATGGAAAAAAAAAAAAACTCTGAAGCAGACAAATAAATATGATAAGATTCAAATGATTGCATTGAGGCCAGAAATAAGAGGAACATTTAAAAAATGTCTAGTAGAACATTTAAAAAATAGTCTACGTGGCTTGTAAAATCTCTTCTATGGGTTGTAATTTGAATACGGTATTTCCATACAACTGGATAAGCAATTGTACACACACAAAAAAGGAGATACTGAATAATTCAGTAAAGCTTAATGCCTTCTCTGCATGAAAAAGATTAAAAGCAAAAG